TTCTAGGCATGTGTCTGTACAGATTTGTTCCTGTGCTTTGTCAGGGAGTTTTTTTAACCTGTCTGGTCATTCAGTGACAGACCTGCGGGTGGCAATTTTGCAACAAAAAAGTTTCAAAAACAGACTCTAATGAGAAATTGCTGAGCTTGAATTGATATGCAAATTAGATACAATCCATTTAGGCTTAAATAGAGACTGGGAATGGCTGAGCCATTACAAACATTGAATCTATCTCCCCATGTAAGTACTCACACTTCTTATCAAACTGTCTGTACTGGGCTATCTTGATTATCACTTCAAAAGTTTTTTCTCTTACTTAATTGGCCTCTCAGAGTTGGTAAGACAACTCCCACCTTTTCATGCTCTCTGTATGTGTATATATATATCTCCTCAACATATGTTCCATTCTATGCATCCGAAGAAGTGGGCTGTAGCCCACGAAAGCTTATGCTCAAATAAATGCGTTAGTCTCTAAGGTGCCACAAGTACTCCTGTTCTTTCATCTGAAAAGTGTTTGCGTGTACCAACGGTATACACTTTTTCCTCTCCAAAAGGAGCAATTTATGCTGTCTTCTCTAGTATAAATTCTAATAGACTCCATTAGCATTATTCAACTGGTGTCTCTTGGTTCCTACTGGAGGACTGGTACCCTTAGGAACAACTAGACAAATAGATCTATTGATCTGTTTCAAAACCTAGTTGCAAAATGCAACCATCTGAAAAAATCCCACTAGGGGACTTGAATTCACACACTCATAGAGTTTAGATATATTGAAGTCTCAAACACAAGTGAGAATTGGAAGGAAACAAAACTACAAACAGTTGAGCCAAAATGCCTTTAGGGCAACTAAGTTATTTTCCCAAGTACCATCATTATGAAAATTGTCAGTCTTAATGTTTTGTGGTATTCCTTCACACCTCATTTGTGCAGTTCAGAGTGCCTGGGCAAGAGTATGCATATCTGCAGATACTGTTTGATCATAGAACATGTTTACATGGATTTTAGGAGATTCCATCACAAATCGTTTCATATATTTTCCAGTTTTTGGCTCAGCGCAATGATGGTCCATAGAGACTTTCTCATGTTATGCTGTAAAGATTAAAAAAAAATCCTAACAATTCTAACTACTCCTTCATTTTTGTCAGGTGGCAGCTTTTACTTGGCACATGCAGATGTTATTGTTTAGGGTTTTCCCCCATTATTTTTACAATGAGGTTTGCCCATTGTTCATACAAAAACCTCTGAGCATGTTTTCTATCCAGAGAGGAAAAAGTGGGGTGCAGAAGAAGTGAGCAGAGGGACAAAAGGAAGAAAGTAAAGAGGAACAGCTAGTAGGAAAAGAGAGAGTGGCAAGGAGAGGTATATTATAAAGATAAATACATAAAGTGAAAGAATAAAAACTGACAGAGGGTCCTGTGGCACCTTTAAGACTAACAGAAGTATTGGGAGCATAAGCTTTCGTGGTTAAGAACCTCACTTCTTCAGATGCAACTCCCTCTGTTGCTTTTTACAGATTCAGACTAACTCGGCTACCCCTCTGATAATAAAAACTGAGTTTTAATGGTACTAATTTTTTCTGTTCTTTTCTTCTTTAAACTTGGATTCTCCTAATGACCATGTCTCAGGGTAATTTAGACAATGCATCTTTACAAGTGAAGGGATACTTTGTGAACAGTTATACCAATAACAATGCTTTAAAGCTTTCTCTCAAAGTTTACTGTAAAAGCATTTCTGTAAACTATGTGATGAACAAAATGTTTGCCTGTTCCAAGTTCTTAAAGTCACTTATTTGGATACTCAGTCCCTTGTGAGGTGTGTGGTGATCCCGAATGAGCCATTTAAAAACTTTACAACTTTTGTCACATTTCATTCTATTTTATCGATCAATATTCTTACCAAAATGACAGCATTTTTAGATAAGTAGTTAATGGGCTGTTAAATACCTAGGGATCATGATGAGTGCCTAGAACACTGTGCTCCAGAAATTAGCTCTAAAAAGGCTCTAATACAGAGAAAAATCAGGAAGAGTGTATACCTGCCATATGTGTCCTCTCTCATTATAAGTGGAAAATATTGCTCATCTGATGTCAAATTCCTAATGAAAAAGTTATTAAAATATAGACTCTTCCCTCTTGCTAAAAATTGTTCTGGGTTTTGGCAAAATTCATTTGTCTCCACATTTTCAAATGGTAACTTCCGTGTTTTTTCCTTTTATGGTCTTTCATGGAGAATTTTTTTAATACTATAGCAATTTTTCATATCAGACTGGCAGATAGTGTTGCAATCAGTTGTTTACATAATCAGTGGGTTAATATTAAATATATCAATTATGCTTTATAGACATGTAATAGGATATTGGTCCCAAGAAGTTCACAATCTAAGGATCAAAACCTGCTCCACGTACATGAGGGCCCACTCCTAAGTTTTTATGTAAGGCAGAGCAACATTTTTCCATCTCTATATAACAACATAAGCTGTACTCCCAAGCGGAGGCCCTGCTCAAGCCCAGTTCACCATTTATGTCCCATTTAAGTGCTCTTTGAGGGATAAAGTAATGCATGGGTATTGTATTGGCCCCGTGTGCAAGGGTGAATTTTACACTTAGTGAATAAATGGTACGTATGTGTTAGCTTGGTAAGTTGTAAGATGTAAAATAATATTGCTATTGTTGCTTGGAAGATGAGAACAATTAATTTATTTCTAAAAATCAGCCTTTTGAAAGCTGGAATCTGACTAGTTGATGATAGTTCCATTGGTGCAGGTAATTCCATTCAATATTACAGTGGGTATGTTACATATCCACTCATCTAAGGGCAGTAGCCTGTCATCGCTAGTATCTGAGTATGTGGGATGCATGCATACCCCAGTGTTGCATTGTTTTCGTATAATTGTTTAAAAATGTCAAAAGCTGCCTTTTGCAAAGTATGAATTACATTCATCCCACTAGGACATTTCATGGGTGAAATGTTACTTTTGTAAACTAGAGAGACAAGGTGGGTGAGGTAATATCTTTTACTGGACCAACTTCTGTTGGTGAGGGAAACAAGCTTTCGAGCTTACACGGAGCTGAAGGAGAGAGACAAGCTCTTCCACCAAAAGAAGCTGGTCCTATAAAAGATATTACCTCTCCCACCTTATCTCTCTAATATCCTGGGATCAACATGACTCCAACAACACTGCATACACTTGTAAACTGTAACTTTTGTTTTGCTCATTTGTAATATATTCTCTCTCCTGCTGCCCAAGCTCTGAGTCTGCTCAAGTATTGTAAAAACACATTTTGTCCCCATCCTTTGAAGAGGCATTCCCCTGAGTTGTGTAAGTTCCCTTCCTTGTACATTTAATAGTTTATACGAGAGACAGGTCTGAATAAAAAAAGCCCTGGATCCAAATACACTCAAGTTTTATAGAATTCTGGTTAGTTTAGGCCTTTTTCTAGTTTATATTTGTCTTTTTCAGTTGCAGAAATAAACTTGTCCTGATTCCTACCATATGCTGTGAAAGAGCATGGGATTAAACATACGGGTTGTTGTTCAATGTGATTTCACGGAATTACCCCCATTTATCATTTTAATTGTGAATGAAAAAGGAATTTTCATTTAATTTGCATTGGGGACCTTTGTGCTGGGTGGAGACCTTCCCCTAATCCTCTATGGCTCAGCAGGGGGCTGAGAGCCTAGGAGCTCCTTCGCTGCCCTTATGCCTTAGTTGCATCTCTCAGAGATGGGGAAGTTTTTGCCTTTGGTGGCTTCTGTGACTGGGCACTTTCAGCAAAGTCAAGATGGGGGTTAGGCAGCACCTTGAGTGTTAGCATGTCATTGTCCCCTGTTGCAGCATCTATTTTGTCCTCGCATTTGGTGCTGTTGAAGCTTATTGCTCCACAGCTCAGTGGTCCTGCTACATTTGGATCCCTTCACCAGTTTGAATCCCATAGAACATTGGGGTCTTGCCACTCTGAGAGTGGGCATGCGAATGCTGTATACACCTGGCTATTTTCAGAAGCCTACAGGCTTTTGATGTATTAGGATCACTGGAGCTTTGGCATCTTCTCTCCAGTTGTTGTGTTTAACTGATCCCAACGCTCTGTGGGGTGGGATCTGCAATCGGTGCTGTTCAGGGCTCGCAGTCCTGTGTGCAGAAAGAAAAGAGTTCAGTGCAGTATTATTCCTGTAGTTAGATTTTAAGTGGAGGATTTTATATCTAGGAGTTTTATTGGTTTTAAAAAGAAAATAATAATTTCCCACACTGACTATCCCATTGTATGAGACACATTTTGCTATTTCCTTACTCAAGACAGCTGTGGTATCTTTAATATTGTTGTGTGATATCTGGGTTACATGTTGACTCTCTAGCCTTTGATCCAGCAAACACTGTCCAAGGTTGTTGTGCTCTAGTACAAATGGAGGGATGGCTACTCACAGATGTAAGTCAGTGTAAAGCATTAGACATATTCCCCTGTGCAGAGTGATAGTGAGTCTCCTGCCTATATAGCATGCTCAGTCCTTTGTTCACAAAGCTGCAGTTTAATAGAAGGAGGCAAAGCATGGATGCAGAGTGCACAGGTCCAGTCCTCAACATGGTAATATGGTACATATTCACACTTCCCTCTTGAGCCTTAATCATGCTAGGTGGCGGGGTAATTTAACAACCAAGGTTGAATTCCCTTCCAAGTCCTGTCCTACTCATTGCTTTTTAACTTATGCTTATGAACAAGATTCTGTGCTATCCAGGATCAAGCCTTTAATGACTCCTGTAGAATTGTACCAGGGGTCTAAATGTTCATATCAAGCTGTATGATAAATAAGAGACAATTCAGATAAAGGAATATCATGCTCAAGGATGCCTGAAATCAAATTTACTACAGTAGTTGAACTGGTGATGCTACAGTGAGATCCTGGAGTTTTAATATAGTGTGTTGCGGGAGAAAAGAGCCTCTTCCCTGATGAGGTACCACAAAATGTAAGGGTCTTTTAAACAGAATGAACAGGAAACTTTCCTATCAGATATGCAGCTTTTTTTTTTCTTTTCCCAAAAATGAGTCACAGGGCCTTAAAAGGGGTGACAATAATTCAGATATCAGTGAGTTAAAGAACAGACTCTAGAATCTGGGTAGAAAACTGTCCCAGATTCTAACATTCCTTTGAGATGACATTAGAAACTAAGGTAGACTTAGCATGAGAAACAATGCTTTTATTGAAGAGATTGCTTTTGTTAGGCACATATGTGAACCATAAATCCAGACTCTCAGTGCATCCGGTCACATATATTCATGTCAGCATCTAAACAGAGATCTCCAAATGTTCAAACATCCCTTTCAGATCGGAGTTTTATTTTGGAAAACTACTTTGTCCAATTAATTTTGATTACAATGATGTTCTGTTGGAAAGAGATGTCCGAAAACAGCATTTCACCATATGAAATTCTACTTACAAAGATGTAAAAAGTGTGTGCGCGCGCAGCATACAGTTATACTTTACAAACATACATAAATGTGTACATCACTATTGTGTAAGCAGTAATCCAGCAAGGAATATGCTGCTCTGATGTGTTATGCATGTTTTGGGTGTATTTCTAACCATAAAATTGAAGCCTGAGTGCCTCTGGCCATCTCAGAAATGTATATAAAAATAAGGATTTGACACCCAATACACATCTATGTACTATATTATTTTTGCTCTTAGAACTTTAAATGTTTGTTATAGATTTTCAACCAAGACTAGTATTGTTTTACATTTGCATAGATCAGACTGCACCTTAGTCCTGGTGAAATTATGCAGATACAAAAAAGTTGCCACATGCAGTATTAAGGATGAACAATTAACCACGCAAAAGTCAGGAAATGCAGACTTTTAAATTGAATGCACAATCTTAACTGTGCCCATTTAAGTATTTAATTGTAAGATCACAGGGTGTTCTCGAACACACATGTTTATTTAAGGGTTTTCTTAATGCATATATGAAAAGGGGCAGTGGAAAGCTTGTGAAAATTGAGGTTGAACACACATTTCCCAGCATGGGTGCTTAATTGTTCAATCTTAAAATAGTATTAATCTAGTTTTTTGCATTTAATATATATTTATGAAAGATAGTTCACAGCAGTTTTAAAAATTCAGAATTTTAAAACCACAAAACTGATTTTCTTTAAATGTAGATAGATTTTTTTTAAAGCATTTTATTCATATTTTCTGTGACCTCATTAATAAAGACCATGTATTAATTAAATGACGAGCTTTTGAGAATACAAAAAGCAGTAAGAAACAAACTTGTTAGGCTAAATCTTCAGAAAAAGCTCAGCTGCTATAGATTATTTAATTAAAGATTTATTAAACAGGTAGGAAATTCAGCAAACGGCTCAAAGTTTAAAAGTCATATGTCTAACATTAAGAGAAGTCAAACACAGAAAAGATTAAAATTGAAAGTTAAAAGATTATTGAGACGCTGAAACTGAAGAATATTGAATAGTTCTTTAAATAACCTGTCAAATGCCCCTTTCTATGACTTTATTGTTCTACAACCTGTGTTTTGACAGTCATATTGAATAAATGTTTGTTCTTATCAATCATAGCCTGAAACTCAAAATGATATCGAAACTGTAATTCCAAGAGGGGAAAACCCTATGTGCGTGTGTATATATGTATGTACGTACGAGTGTGTGTGTGTGTGTGTGTGTGTGTGTGTATAACCTGTGTATATATATATATACATTTAAAAGCATGATTTTGTTTCTTTAGTGATGTTGGAGAAATTCATGCTCTTTTCCCCCTCTCCCCTTCCCCCCCGATCAAGGAACTTAAGTGGTGGAATCTCCTTTCTTAGAGGTTTTTAAGGTCAGGCTTGACAAAGCCCTGGCTGGGATGATTTAGTAGGGGGTTGGACTAAATGACCTCCTGAGGTCCCTTCCAACCCTGATATTCTATGGTTCTACTTTCCACTTCCATATTGCTTGCATATCTTTGTCCATATACAGACAGAAAAGCAATAATAAAATATATACACATAAATAAGGTTGTTTTTATGTAGCATCATAAAAATAATTAGGGATCTGAAAAAGAGGGTTTCACTTATGCTGTAGCATAAATTTAAACAAAGGGGGTCATTTATCAGTTTCAGAACTGTCAGGATAAGCCTAGAACACAAATATTACAACCTTAAAACTGTTCTCCATAATCTTGATTATTTGATGGAACGACACATTGGCTTTTATGTTGCCACCACACTGTTCAAAACTTTTGTCCTTTACTGATACCTTAGACATTTTATGTTCCAGATTACTAGTACGTTTGTCCAGCCCTATTCTTAAAGGGCCAAGTCTGCAACCTGTTGAAGTCAGCTGGAGTCTTGGCCCCAAATCATTAAGGAAAAGCTCTTCTGTTTGTGCTGCCCCCGGGGGAACACTGGGAAGGAATTGTACCTCTTAAAAGCACAATTCCTTCCCTCTTTTCCCTTGTTTGGCAAGGATGGTGTCAAGGCAGGGGAACGAAGTATAACTTGTTGCTGGCCTATGAACAGCTGCAAACGATACCTTCCATGCCATCTCAGATGCACTGGCTGGCTACTGGTGGGCTGAGCCAAGACTCCACCCACTCTCTTCTTCTCTCTGCCCACCTTCTCCGGGATGAGGGAATATGGTAGGTACACAGAGTCCACTTACTCCTGCATGCCAAAGTTTAGGATCCTGGTAGCCTGTTCTTACTCTGCCTTATGTTCCTGCATGGGCTATGCAGTCCTGGATATAATTTAGTCCTAAATTCTGAATGAAATAAATCTCATGTAGATTCCACAGAACCAGACTGAGACTTGAAGACTTCAATTGACCAAAAAATAGTTTCTGATGTTACTGTACAAGGTGTTTATATGGGGCTCTGACAGGAATATGCTTGTTCAGCTGTTCTTAGAGCATTAAATGGAGCTTGAACTGAGGGACACTATGCAGCAATAGGAAGGATCAGGGAATCCCTCTTTAGCTTCTTCATCCATAGGAACCACAGTCACAGTGGGCGTTAAATACTTACCCAACCTACTTCAGTTTTCTTACGTTTTGTAAGAGGCATCTTAAAATATGAATATAAAATTATTAAAGAGAGTAAAGTATGATAGAGTCCTCTTTAAGTATAACCAAACACCTGATTATCACCCATTTCTCTGAAATAACCTAATGAACAAATATTGTTTAATAGGTATAAAAAATGCCTGTAAACATCCACTGTAAGTAATCTATTCAGGGTGTGTTGTGCCATTGGGAAGAAGAAAGGTAAAAGCTCCCTCCACCACCAACCATATATAAACAAAAATGGGGAAATTACCACTTAAAATTAGGTAGTTGGGTGTGTTCTTCAGCAAAGCAGCTGAAATGTAGCTTGATTAAGGGGCAATGAGATGCATGAGACAAGCCAAATTTGAGGGGAAATAGTTTTAAGTTATGAACATTAAAAACTAGCAAGTTTTGAGAGAGATGCACCTGACTAGCTGAACACATGTACATACCTTTAAGTACAAACCTGTAGACAACAAAATTGTCTACTGCACTTGTTCTCCAGGTAATTTTGTATCACCACAGTTGGTAAATCAAACTCAACCCAAAGTTGCTGCATCTCACTCAGTACATTGTACAAACCAAGATTTAGGTTTTGAACTTCTGCTGTAGCTCTGTCTTCTTTTTTAAAAATTGCTTAAATTTCAAAGAGGGAATGTGGGGTTTCGAGAGGATTTTCTTCAACCTCTTAACTCAAAAATAGGCAAAGAAATTTTGATTAAACCTAAGACGAAAAATATTCACCATAATGTAGAGATCATGCCTAAAAGTGAGTGTTTCAAAAGGGGTGAGTTATAATGAAAACTACAGCAGGCACTGTGGGGAACTCTTTCTCGGAACTATTCCCTTAGGAGGGGAGGAGGCTAACTAAACATCACCCTGTTGTTTGTGAGGAGCCTCCCTTTTAATAAGTTCAAACACAATGATCTGTGTCTGATTATATTTAAACAATACATGGTTAGTGTACATACACACATACTTCTATACTATATTGAATATAATGCTTGGTATTTGAGACAATGGATTTGTCCCTACTCATGAAAGCAGTGAATTCTTTGGGGGCTGTGGGAGAGAAGGAATTCTTTACAGATAATGT